TCTAGCAGCCACCTTCTGTTCTTGCTCCCCTTGTGGCCCCCTCTCTCCCCACCCCCTGCCATTCACACTTCCCAGATGCCAGCTTACAAAGAGGGCCTGGCCTCTCAGAGCTGCTTTGGTGGGGGTGGGTCCATCTGCAGCCCCCTCCCCCAGGCCTGGAGGTGGCTTTTGATCCTCGGACAGTCACTAGCTTCAGTGCACCTGCTCAGCCCCGGAGTCCAGTAGAGGTCCCCCAGAGACCAGCCCTCAGCACTAGGGCACTGACATGCAGTATTAAGGCCCAATAGAACTCAGCTACACACACACACACAAGCCCCTTAACTGTTTTGGTGCCTCTACTGCAAGCGCCAAATGAGCCTTTCTGTCTCTTGGTCTGTTCTGTGGCACTGCTGGCCTCAAACTCTCAGTTTGTTCCTCTGCCTCCCTAGCACTGAGCTCAGGTGAACACCTCACACCTCAGTAGAAAAGTGCATTCATTCCAGTGAAGAGTCACAAGCAAAATGATACTCTGATTATTAGAAAACATAGAAGAACCATCAGAATGGTTCAGGATACAAAGGAACTTGCCACCAAGCCTGAGGACCTGAGCTCACCCCCCAGGATCCACACAGTAGAGGGACAGAACCAACTCCTGAGAGCTGACCTCTGACCGCCACGTGTTCCCTGTGGCACACTCATCTGCATACATCATATACACAATAACCAACTAGAAAGAAAACACAGGAAAAGATAGTCTCAAACCTTGGGAGAGTGGCAAGCCCTGATGTGTGTCTGTCTGGGGTGATGTTCACAGGTGGCACTGTTGTGTCCCTGAGTCTGAGCCCGTCACCTCTCAACACACAAGGCAAAGAAAGTGCTTCTCGGATAGGATTGTTAGACAAGAAACACTCCCACCAACAGTGACTAAAATACCCTGAACTTACACTGTCCAGCACTTAAGTGAACTAGAGGACTGACCTAGAATATGTGCATTTAGGGCTGGGAATATAGCTCAGTGGCAGAGTGTTTGCCTAGCATGGAAGAGCTCCAGGGTTCCATCTCCAGTACTGCTAAAGTACAAACTAAATGAAGTCCCTGTTTGTGATTTAACAGATACTACTAACTGACTTGCATACGAAGCGAGCATCCCTTGCTCACATTCTCACTCTGCACAGGGACATGTCAGTTTTCTATCCCATCACCAACATGGGGTAGCTTCAGATGGCATTGTGCATTCATTGTTTTGTCTGCACTGTGGTGGGTGAAAGATGCCATGTGTGTTTTGTTTCTCTGCACAGTTGAGATTTGAGTGGGATCTTTTTTTCCTGTCCTGGAACATTTCAATTAGATTTACAGTGAAATAGCAGAGACCAGCCCAGCAGTCAAATGCTCAGCTGGGCTAAGCCACCTAGCTCCCCTGTGCCACGGGATGAGGCTGTCAGCCTGTGTGTCTCACACTGTAACTGTGGGGTGACCACACTCCCCCAGTACTGTTGAATTTCTGTCGCAGCCAAGAAGGGCTGGTGAGTGAATCCTGCAGGTTGCTGTATGTGTACACTACCTGAGGATCTGTGTGAAGAGGACTACAGAGGAGAGCAAAGCTCCCTTTATCACAAGCTCCGTCACAGTCTCCATTGCAGGGCTTCGGACAGAGATGGAGGTTGACTCGATCCATTGGGGAACCCTCAGGGAGAGGCTGTGTTTCCCCCACAGTGAGCCTCACAGCACACTGTGTGTCACATGCTCTGCTTTGGCTGGGATTCTTGTGGCTCAGCATGGTGACACTGTTTCACACGGGCCAGGGCCTGGCAGTGATGTACATCTTTGAGAAATCAAGATGCAATGGGATGTAAATTATCACCCAACATGTGTAGTCTATTAGTCTAATGAATCCTTCTAGCCCTGAATCCCAGGGGACTGACAGTAACATGACAGAGGCTGTTCAGCAAATGATGCTGGAACAATTCGCTATACGTATAGAAAATTTAACTTTTTATTCTTATTTCACCTCAATTGAAAATTAATCTGGTTTGGATCATAGAGCTAAAACATCAAAACTGAAACAATAAAACTTTAGCAGAAAGTACAGGAATTTCTGTTGGCCGTGATGTAGCTCAATGGTTGAGTGCCTGCGCAAGTGTGCATAGGTCCTGAATTCAATCCTCAGTGTAGCCATAAACAAATAAGTGTAAAGGAAATGTTTTACAAAGGTTTTTGTGGGACAGAAAAAGCACAAACTATAGATGGAATAAGGCAGATGTCAACCAGGAGTTCAGAACAGGCTCAGCTATGTGAAACCCTTTCTGAATAATAATATTTTTTTAAAGAAAAAGTAAAATAATAAGATGCAAGGCTATTCCCAATGGGATGGCTGCCAGTCGCAAGTGTTGACAGAGAGCTAGAAAACTTGCTGCATTGCTGATGGAACTGTAAGTGATGGAGTGACTCTGGAGACTCACTTTGCGGCTGTTAGAAGGTAAATGTACAGCCATTGATTCAGCAAATCTCTGAACTGTGTGTCTTTATGAGCTGAATTGCACACCCTTCCACATTCTTACAGTGAAACTCTACTGAGTGCCTGTGAGTCAGAATGTGACCACATCTAAAGAAAGAGCCTTGTAGAGGGAGTTAAAGTAGGGCGGACCTGATCCAGCCTGATGGGTATCTTTATAAAAAGAGGGAATTTGGACACACACTGAGACACCAGGTACTTGTGAGCACAAAAAGATGAAGTGAGGACAGCAGCAAGGAGTCATTTGCAAGCCAAGGACAGGGGCCTCAGGAGAAAAACCATATATACTGGGACCTCCATATCAGGCATCAGCCTCCAAGAGACATGAGGAATATAGTTCTGTGGTGTTACACTTCAGCAGCCTCAACCAATAACACAATATCTAACTGAAATGACACCCTGGCTCCATAGCAAAGACTTGACCACGGGCGTTCATAGAAACTTCAGTCATGGTGACTGAGAGATGGTTGCAGTTTGGTGTTCATGGACTGATGAAGTGCTAAGCACACTACATCCTGTGAAATGTTACACAGTAATAAAAAGGAAGTGAGCTACTGTAGAATGTAAGACCTGAATGAACTTCAAAAACTTATTAATAGAAGC